AGATGTTGGGAGACCAGACTTAATCCGATTTCTGCAACCCCTCTTGGTATGTTTCAGCCTCCAGTCCCTTAATCACCTTTCTTGCTCTTCTCTGCACTCTCGACCTCTTTTCCGTATCACGGTGACCAAAACTGGGTGCAGGATCTTCCTAAGGTGCGATGTGCGATCTTCCTAAGGCATCGTAAAGTGGTATTAACAGGTTCTAGCCCCCTGTTAACGCTGCCTTGGCTTTTTTGGCAGCTGCAGCACATGGCTGGCTCCCACTGAAGTGATTGCACAGACCAACCCAAGCCCTTTACAAGCTAGACGAGATCCTTCTGTTTGGGTCTCTGCAATTGCAGATGGCTTTCTCCTCTGATCTGTTCTCCTCCCAGCTGGAGAATGTGCAGTGCGCTCCCATTTTCCTGGGCGTCCGTTCTCCAGCACGCTTGGAGGCCTTTCCCCCTTTTTACTGCAGCCGTCTCCTGCCCCCTCGGCCCCGATGCCTGGTCCATCTAGCCTCCCGGAGAAGGCCGGGATTTGTCTGTTGCCTGGCTGTGGGAAAGGACCGGGTGTGTGGCGCCCCAGGCGGGCTTTGCGCTCTGAGAAGCAACAGCTGTTCCTGCTCATTAAAAATTCCAATCCGGGCCCCATGTCTATGAATTAATTATGGCCAATGGATCTTCGGAGGAGATTTGCAAGTCTTGGGGAGTTCACAGCGGCTTGCAGGATGTTTGTTGTATTCATATTTAATAAATACACTTGGAACGATCTCCCGTGGTACCTGGCTGGCTGCGAGTGAATCCCAGCTAGGTCATATTTTCTAAGGTGACACCCAAACAGGGAATTCATGTTTGGAAGAGCATTTTTTTAATGTAGAATAGAAGCCTTTCTTCCAGGTTATGAAATCGTTGGAAAAGGACATTATAAAGAAGAGGGGATCGAGCTATTTTCCAAAGCCCCTGAGGGCAGGACAAGAAGAAGCAACGGATGGAAACCAAACAAGGCGAGAAGCAACCTAGAACTAAGGAGAAATTTCCTGATAGTTAGAGCAATTCATCAGTGGAACCACTTGCCTCCAGAAGTTGTAAACGCTCCAACACTGGAAGTTTTTAAGAAGAGATTGGACAACCATTTGTCTGAAACGGTGTAGGGTTTCCTGCCTAAGCAGGGGGTTGGACTAGAAGACCTCCAAGGTCCCTTCCCACTCTGTTACTCTGTTAAAGTCGGTGTGGTTCTTTTTTCTTCTGGAGAGAGAAGCATGTATTTTTTTTGGTTGTGTCTCAGTGCCATCAGTAGCTTGAACCAAACAGAACATTTCTGTGATCCAATCCCTCAAAACAACAGTTCCCTGCCTGGAGCTGCCCCATCTGCTTCCATTCCAGCTGAGTTGCTTTCCAAATTCAGACTAGAACAACATCTGCCCCCTTCCCTCTCTGAAGACTGCCAAAGTAGACATTAGCTCCTATTCAGGGAATACCAACTGCTGAACCCTGAATATTGGCAAGCAAGGAATTAGCTGAGAATCCGTAACAAAATCCCCCTTCCAAAGCTGTTTAAATATATCAGCGTTCGGCGTGTAGAACAGGGTAGGCGGAATCTGAGAGGGAAGAAGGAGAATGGATGTCGTGAATTCTACAGATTTCAGATTTGATTTCTGCACAATTGGTGGATGGGTGCTAAACCGTCTCAGACCGCACGTATGTTCTGTGTAGCACCTCTTATAGGAAGATTTGGCCCTGGGCCAGGCCAAGGTCATCATCTCCACTTGTCGTCTTCTAGACTTGCCCATCCTGTCTCGAAGAATTTTGCCAGTGCCTCCCTGTGAGATTATTGTGGCTTATTGCTCATACAAGCATGAACTGTGTTGACAAAGAAGCATTTAGGACCTGTCTGCCATTAGCTAAACAGACCCAGAAGAGGATGGAGAGACAACATCAAAGGGCATATTACAGCAACACCAATTAACAATGGTAGAGACCACCAGAAGAGCAAGAGCCAGAATTTTGTATCTCCCTAAACACAGAAAGTGGTAAAAGAGGAGGAGGAAGAATAGAAGGAAGGAAGAAGAGGGGGAGGGAAGGAAGGATGGAGGAGAGGAAGAAGAGGAGGAGGAAAGGAAGGAAGGAAGAAGAGGAAGGATGGAGGAGAGGAGGAAGAGGAGGAGGAAAGGAAGGAAGGAAGAAGAGGAAGGAAGGAAGAGAAAGGAAGGACGGAGGAGAGGAGGAAGAGAATGAGGAAGGGAAGGAAGGAAGAAGAAGGATGGAGAAGAGGAGGAAGAAGAGGGAAAAAAGGAAGAGGAAGGAAGGAAGAAAGGAAGAGGAGGGAAGGATGGAGCAGAGGAGGAAGAGATGGAGGAAAGGAAGGAAGGAAGAGGAAGGAAGGAAGAATGGAGGAGAAGAGGAGAGGAGGGAAGAAAGGAAGAGGAAGGGAGGAGAGGAGGTCCTTTCAGCTGCTCAGAGCAGTCCCTTTTTGGAGTGAAATACTTGCGTAACCATCGAAACAAAACGTCCTTTTCTGTCTGCGAGACGCCACTTACAAGTGCAAAAGTACCTTTTCCCGAGCTTTCTTGTGGGAAATAAAAAATAAAAAACAGCCCTGCCCGGTGTACTCATTGTTCCTCAAGCACACACATTCTGCAATTGGAATAAATTATGCAAATATACATTCTTTAATCTGCACTATATATCCTGCTTTCAGGATTGAAGTCTCCGTATAATTACTCTGCCAACCGCAGTCTTGAAGAGGGCACGGACGATTCGGAACCCGGAGGACGAATAATCAGAAATAATGGGAGGCTGGAAAGGCGTTTCCAAGGGACGATTTTGTCAGATATTTTCACCTCTTTTTCTCTCTCCCTGTAGCAGGGAGAACATGGAAGGAGTAACTTTACAAAGTGATCAGTTCCAAAGAAGATTCAAATGGGCAGGGGAGATGATGGAGGCAAACATCTGGATCGCAATACTTGGTGGAGGTGGCAACCATTAGGATAGAGTGATCCTCTTGAGGAGGGCAGAGGGCGTCTTGCGAGGTCCCTGTGAGGCAAAGCACAAATGGACTTGGTCAACTTGTGGACCTGACAGGGTCCCCCGGTTAGTTTCTCGACCTTCTCCTTCAAAAGAGGCCTCCCCAGGGGAATGGCCTCTCAGAGGGAAGCCCATAAAACAAGGACAGTCGATCGTACAGCCCATTCGGTCGTTCCTATCCATTTTCTTCAGGGTTTGGGTTTGAAGGTAGAGCTGACCAACCACCAACCAGTCCCTTCGTTCCTAAGCCTGAGGAGGCCTCCACCCCATTAGCTATTTCCAGCCATTGAGTAACAGAACAACAGAGTTGGAAGGGACCTTGTAGGTCATCTAGTCCAACCCCCTGCCCAAGCAGGAGACCCTACACCATTTCTGACAGATGGGAGTCCAGTCTCTTCTTGAAAGCCTCCAGTGATGAAGCTCCCACAACTTCTGAAGGCAACTTCTGTTCCACCGGTTGATCATCCTCACTGTCTGGAAATTTCTCCTTATTTGTAGGTTCAATCTCTCCTTGTTCAGTTTCCATCCATTGTTTGCCCTTCAGGTGCCTTGGAGAATAGCTTGACCCCCTTCCTCCTCTCTGGGGCAGCCCCTCAAATATTGGAAGGCTGCTCTCCTGTCTCCCCCGGTCCTTCTCTTCCCTAGACGAGCCAATGCCCAGTTCTTGCAACCGTTCTCCGTACGTTTTAGCCTCATCCTCTTCTCCGCGCTCGTTTTTTTTTCTCCCCTCGCTGAACATTTTGCTCAGTCTTGGGAACCAACCCAGGGACGCCTAAACCCAACCCAGAGTTTCCTGTGCCAAAGAGAAGATGCTCAGGCAAAAAGAGGAGGCTTGCCAAGGGTCTCGGTTCATCCTTTTGAAATGCAGATGTGCGCACGGGGCTGAGTCGTGTCTCCGTTTAATCTCCCTCCGTTCTTCCTGCTGTTGCATAAAAGTCAGCAAGAGGGTCTGGGTGTGAACATGACTAAACATTTGCCCCAAAGAAGCATCGCTAGCTTTGGCTGGGCGGGGAGGGTGGCAGCATTCTTGCATCCCCTCTCCCCTCTCTTGTCACACGCAGGTGATTGCCCAGAGAACATCTGCCTGGGATTAAGCTGGGGAAGGCTGTTGGGTGCAGAGAGAGCACTATCTATGGCTCAAACCAGATGGTGCCGCTCTCCCCTTCCCGCTTTCATCGTGCCGTGGTGTCGCCAGAAGAGCCGTAATGGCAGAAGACAAGCAGATGTTTCTGCAGCTGAGGCCTGGGCTGCCCACTTCAGGGAACGACTGGTCACAGATCATTCTCTACCCCGGCGGTAGTGGTGCCAGCTTCCTCCCTGCCGTTACGGCTTTTGTGCACGCTCCGGCGCGAGCTGGATTCGCAGCCAGGGTCCAGGAGCAGCTGCCTGCTCAACTGACGATGCTAGGCTGGCTCACCAGAACAGCTTAGCCGCAGGCCTTGTTTTTTTTTTCCCATTCCCATGGAGAATTGCGGCTGAACGAAATAAAGGACAGCCCCCTCTTGCTGTTTGTCAGGCAACTCTGCCCTCCGGGTAGGCCTCAAAGCGTGTTGAGCCAAACGCTGCAGGGAAATTCCGGTCACCGAAGGGCTAAAAGGCAGAGAAGATGGCTCTGCATAAAGTTACTTTTAAGGTTGTCCTTCTTGCCAGCTATCTTTGGGCAAATTGCTGTCCGATTATCGGTGTATATCGTGCCTTTTCTTTTATGTATCTTTTCTTTTACGTACAGTGAGAGCATTTGCACGAGGACGGATTCCTTGTGTGTCCAATCACACTTGGCCAATAAAGCATCCTAATTCTTTTGAAGTTTGTTTGTTTAAATCAGGGGTCTCCAAACTTGGCCCCTTTGAGACTTGTGGACTTCAACTCCCAGAATTCCCATGCATGGCTGGCTGGGGAATTCTGGGAATTGAAGTCCACATCTCTTAAAGTTGCATTCCTATCTCCCTTGGGGTGTCCTCTGGATGGGGATGATTGGGCTTGTGTTCCTTTCAGCAGGAAGCTGGCTCCCGGAGTGGCGGTGGAGGCAGCAACGGGAGCCGGGACCGCCTGATCGCAGAGGCTCCGTTGCCCCAGGAGAAAGGCAGCGGCCCAACGGTCCCTTCGCACTTGCTGGGGACGCCTTATTCCTTTGCAATCCCACCCAACTCCATTGTCCAGGATTCCCGTTTCCCGCCTCTCAAGTAAGTGAGGCCAAGGAATGTTGGGGCGATTCCCTACCCTTCCCCCCTGGGCTCTTGATGGGAGCTTGGACAGTGCTCCCGAGTCAGGCATGTTCCTTTCCTAAGGAGGATCATGCTTCCCATTGGCCCGTTCTCTTTGTGGCTCTCGCCGCATCGTTGGGACACGGAACAATGGATGCCCAGAAGTGGGGCCCCCAGTTCATGAGGGAATTGAGCTTGGAAATGTTATTGCAGACTTTTGGAATTCACCTTCCTTCCTTCCTTCCTTCCTTCCTTCCTCCTTCCCTCCCTTTTTCCTTCTTTCCTTCCTTCTTTTCCTTCCTTCCTTCCTTCCTCCCTCTCTCTCTCCTTCCCTCCTTTTCCTTCCTCCCTTCCTCTCTCTTTCTTTTTCTTCCTCCCCATTCCCTCCCTTTGGCCTTCCCTCCCTCCTTTTTTCCTTCCTTCCTTCTTTTCCTTCCTCCCTTCCTTCCTCTTTCCCTCTCTTTTCCTTCCTCTCTTTTCCTTCCTCCCTCCCTCCTTTTCCTTCCTCTCTCTTTTTCTCCCTCCCTCCCTTTCTCCCTTTGGTCCTGCCTCCCTCCCTTTTCCCTTCCTTCCTTCTTTTTCTTCCCTCCTTCTTCCCTTTCTCCTTCCCTCCCTCCCTCTTTTCCTTCCTTCCTCCCTCTCTTCCTCTTTCTTTTTCTTCCTCCCTCCCTCCCTTTGGTCCTTCCTTCCTCCCTCCCTCCCTTCCTTCCTCCCTCCCTCCCTCCCTCCCTTTTCCTTCCAGTCTCCAGCGTCCTGTCCACCATGTGGTGCCTCCCAGTGCCGTCACCGAGGACTACCTGCGGAGTTTCCGGCCCTACCACACAGCCGAGGAGCTCCGCATGTCCTCCTTGCCTCCCCTCACCTTGGACCCTGCCACTGCTGCTGCGTATTACCACCCCAGCTATTTGGCTCACCACCCTTTCCCTCATCCGGCTTTCAGGTAAGAGGAAAGTTGTGCCAGAAGGAGGCTCTACTGATCAGGTTGGGCAGCCGCAGTTGGCTGAGTAGTCAGTCCTCCAGGCGTGTCCTTTAGAACCACCACTAATGAACCCTCTTGGCCCACAGAGTGGAAGGTTCTCCGAGGACTTTCCCACAGTGAAATAAAACCCAGCAGGTTGTCCCTTAAAAGAGCAGCAGGGTGTCAGATGATGGGCTATTAATTTGTCCTTTGAACAAGTTCCTGTTGAGCAGACTCAGCTGCTGTCCAGCTTCACCCCAGCTAGCAAGACATGCTGTGTCCATGGAGATCTGAAGGATCTTGGAAACAAATGCCTTGAAGAGAAAGCGGAGCATTTGCCTCCAGCTTTTCTCCATGTAAATGAGTCCGTCACGTATCGGAGTCTGCGGACTTGGCCTGAGGACATGTGAGAAGGCAGGTGGATGCCACAGCCTTCCTTGAGGTCATCTGAGAAGGTCCCCAAGGGAACCCCATCTAGTGAGCTTGGCTCAATGGCGATTCAAGGACTGCATCTTCTGAGTAGGGTGGCTGGAATGTCCTTTTTGGAGTCACCCATCCCATATCCGCCCGGTCAGATTTTGAGTAACAGATAATAAAGGTTTCAATCTAGGCCAATTCCTGGAACCGGAGCTTTGGACTTCTCAGACTCATGTTGGAGCCCATCCTCGTTCTCTTAGTTTAGGGAACGTCTCTAACACATTATGCTAGAGAGAAGTTCCCCGAGGATGAGATCCAGCACGAGTCCAAAAACTTGGAAGAGTAAATCTCTGGTCGTGGTGACCGACCCAGATTGGATCCCGTAATCCTGAGACACGTAGAGAAAGGTTTTATTTTTCTACGCCTCTTAAGAATATTACATCCAGTGCCCTTCTATTTGGTCAGAGTGGTTCTATCCATTTGACGCCGCTGTTTTATTATTATTTATCATTGTGGTAGCTCTCTTGACTGCTTTTGTGGTCAGGGAACAATTCAAGTATCTTCCCTATAAATGAGGAATGAGGGAGGTAAGAAAGCTGTTGTGATCATTTTTGCCCAGTCTTGCCAAACCAAAGCTTAGCTAGAAGCACAATGTGATTAAATTTTATAGGATGCTGGTGAATCAAAACAGTCTAACGACTCTGGTTTCCCCCCCCAGAATGGATGATTCCTACTGCCTTTCGGCTCTTCGCTCTCCTTTCTACCCAATTCCAACTCCTGGTTCTCTCCCACACCTCCACCCATCGGCCATGCACCTCCACTTATCAGGAATGAGGTACCCCGCCGAGTTGTCCCATTCCTCTCTTTCTGCACTTCAGTCGGAACGCCTCTCCAGCCTGACCGCGGAAAGGTAGGGAATGTCGGAGCACCTCGGCGATTGGCGGGCAAAAGTCCCGTCCAGGTTTCTGCAAGCGTTGTTCTTCTCTTGACTTCGCAGGCTGCAGTTGGACGAAGAGCTACGGCAACGGGAGCGAGAGAAGGAGCGGGAACGGGAAGCCGATCGGGAGCGGGAAAGGGAGCGGGAAAAGGAGCTGGAACGGGAGCGAGAGCGGGAACGGGAGCGGGAGCTGGAAAGGCAGCGCGAGAGAGCCCGGGAAAAGGAGCAGAGCATCATCAAAGCCATGGAAGGCCCCTTCCTGTCTGTCTCCGAGTTGCAAGGGCCGAGGACCCATCCAGCCGAAGAACGTGTCAAACCATCGGAACAGCTAACGCCAAACCGAGCAGGTGACCTTCAGCTGCTTTCTGCCAGACAGTCGGAAACCCCCAGTCTGTTTCCAGGGAAACAGGCAGCAGAAACAGACTTCAAACCCGAGTCTCAGATGGGATGAATTCATGGGATGGGTTTGAAGTGTCGTTTCTCCCCTCTTCTTGGGTTGCTTGCATTGCATGCAGTTTCTGTGCATGGTGGAGGCTTCTTTGGCCCAAGGGCATTCTGTGCATCCACGGATTAGCCAGTCAGGGGTGGTTGCCCCTGTAGAATTCGAAATGCTCACCTCTGCCGATGATGACAACCATTTCCTAACAAGTCTTTCCTAACACGAAGCTGAGACATCGTAGGAGTGGCCATCTCACAACCTTCCCACTTCTTCTCCGTTCTGCTTACATTGAACAGAATTATGAAACCCACCTACAACGTGTGTGTGTGTGTGTGTGTGTGTGTGTGAGAGAGAGAGAGAGAGAGAGAGAGAGAGAGAGAGAGAGAGAGAGAGACTGAGACTTGTGGAGCTGCTACAATTGGTCTTTGGGCCCCAGACATGCTTTCCTTCCTTAACCTAGATGATTGTATTTATTTATTTATTTGTTTGTTTGTCAAACATGTATAAGATAACAAGTATAGCTATGAACATAAACACAGGAGGTAAGTACAGATCAACGGGGACAGTAAGATGGGGCGGTAGGCACGTTGGTGCGCTTATGCCGGCCCCCTTTAAGGACCTCTTAGGAATGGGGTGAGGTCCACGAGAGACAGTTTGAGGTTGAAGCTGTGAGGGGTTGAGGCTATAACCATGGAGTTGGGTAGAGCATTCAAGGCGTTGACCGCTTTTTGGATTTGTCCCAGAACGGTGTCAACAGTGGCAGACAAAGGGAATTTATCCCAGTTGCCTTCCCGCAGTGTTCAAACTGGGCAGACGCTCATTGTCTAGACAGCGGCCTTCCAGTCTTAACAAATTGCAGGGTTCCTTTTGCCAGTTAGCAGTGGCATATATTTATATAAATATATTTATACATATATATATATTTGTTTCCCTGCAGAAAAACCAAAGGACTCTTCTGCTGCCCAGACCCCCAAAGTGGTCCAGCCTCCGTTGCACCAGCCATCTGCCTCGCAGCACCCGGTGCCTAGCTTGATTTCCAGCCACACTATATTCCCCCCGCCTGGAGGCAGCACAGCCGCCGCGCTCCTCATCCAACGCACCAACGAGGAGGAAAAATGGCTGGCACGCCAACGGCGGCTACGGCAAGAGAAGGAAGATCGCCAGTCCCAGGTGTCCGAGTTTCGGCAGCAGGTCCTGGAACAGCATTTGGACATCGGACGCCCAGCCGGACAGATGGAAGTGGAGCATCGGCCAGAGAACTCCAGGTAGTGGCTGGTGGCCTTGGCCTTGTTGTGGGAGGGGAGGGTGGCTGAGTGGCCCCCTTTGCCTGCTTTCTGGGGGTGAGGGGAAAGTAGCCACCTGCCATCAATGACACGGCACTTCCCAAGAATCAACAGAGCCAAAGTTTTCCTCCCGCTTCCTAGATTTCAGCAGCCACCGTGTAATGTCATCTGACAGCTGCTTGGATCCTGGACAGAAGGGGTGAGGTGGCCTCCATGCCATCCACAGTGAACCAGGTGTCTCTGAGACCGTTGTCGCTAATTCGAGCTGTCTTTGGCAGATGGAGGGTCTTCTCAATCTGATAGGTTACAGCCGTGGTTGGCACGGCTGCATGCTGGCCTCGGAACAGCAGGCCCTGGTGGGGGTTGAGTGGTCCAGGCTTGATATTTAGATCTAAATTATGATCTGCTTGGCCAAGAGCTGGCTGCTTGCTCTTCAGGAGGACATCAGTGTCTTCTGAGCCACCAGGGTGAGGGTTTTTTTTTTTTTTGATGCCGAGCTGGAGATCAGGTGCCAACCCAGCATCTGTGGAGTGGATCCAGCCAGCCCTTCTGTTTCTGAGCCGATTCCAAGCAGCCGCTAAGCATGGAAGAGCAGCTTGGGAGTAAACCTTCTGCTTAAGATCTGCTCTTCAACCAGAACTGACTTGGCTCAGTCTTCTGATGGCGCCTCTTGTTGGTTTTGGGGTATCTGGGGATTAGAGAAGCTAATCGGGATAAGTAGGAGTGGATTTGCTGGTGCGCCTGGCAGGGTCACGTTCTTGTTCCGTCATCCTCTTGCACCGGAGCTGGCTCACCTGCGTGACAGGTGTCAAGAGAAGGCTTGACAGCTTGGGCACTTTCAGAAGGACACAATTCAGCATCCCCCAAGCCTCTTTGGCTGGAAAGGGGTGCAGCAAACGCTTCGTTTGCCACATGTTGTTCAGCAATCGTTGCAAATCCGTTTCTGCCTGGCTTCCTTCTCACGGGTAGATAACTGCCTTGATTCTCCATCTTGATATTTTTATGAGCTCATTTTGGGGGACCTGTATCTATTGGGGCTTCTCAGTCATCCAGGTCAGGGTTGTCCCAACGGTGCTTTTTCCAAAAAGGCAACTGGAATTTCTTACTTTTTTTTTTGGTCCTCAAAAACTGGAACAACTGAAGAAGCTTCTTGGAGGAGAAGCGAAACGTTTTCAAGGACAAATACAAGACGGGGAAAAAAAGGTCCAGTTGCCTTTTGGAAAACACCTTTGCGACGTTTGTTCTGGGGACACGGTTCAGGTGAATCTGCCAATGCTCTCTCCAGGTTTTCTCCCTTTTGTTTTCTTTATGAAAAAAAAACAGCTTTTTATTCTGCTCGTCTGGCGATTTCTTTTGTGGCGCTCCTGAGCGTGCTGTTTTGTTGGGCCCCGGGAAGGCTGGCATTTCTTCTGCTTCCCCTCCCTCATAAATTTTGTCTCCTGCAAGCTCTTTGCAAAGAGACACTCCGTCTGCCCAGCAGTTGTGTAATGTATCATGCTGGGAAGCAGCCATTGCTGTTTCGGTACATAGCACCCTGTCGCTCTCGAAGGAAGGAAGGAGTTCCGTGTGCGACACCAGCAAAGGCCGTGTTTATCGGGTATCGGCTGTTGCCCTTTTGCTCCCTGTTTAAGGATTACACGGTTGTCATTCTCTGTGACACTTGAATGCAACTTTGAGGGGGAGGCATGTTTTCATGTTGGGCTCTGTGAGCCCGAATGGTGATAAGACAGGTGAAATTTTCCGCCTTCCAGGTATGAGAATCTGGAGATCGGAATAGAAAGATTGGAAGACACGTTGGACAGTGGTGGGATTCAAATGGTTGTACCACCAGTTCAGTGGGCATGGCTCGGTGGGCGTGCTTTGCCTAACGCCGGCGCGCAGCTTTCCCCACACCAACTGAGACCTACAGCACCAATCAGCTGAGAGGATGAAGAAGAGGAAGGCACGGGGGCAGGTGGGAGGACTGATCCTGCGCTTTTCATTTATCCTCTCAGCTGATTGCAGAGGATTTTTTTTCCTCTTTTCAGCTGATCGTTGGCTTTTTTTTTTTTTAACCACCAGGTCGCATGAACCGGTCCAAACCAGTAGCATACCACGACCGGTGTTGGAGATTGTCTAATTTAGGGTTTCTCGACCTTAGACATACTGGCTGGGGAATTCTGGGGGGTGGAAGTCCAGGCAAATTAAAACTGCCATGGTAGAGAAACACTGCTTAAAAACATATTCACTTAGAGTACGTGGAAAGATCCTCTTCCCCAAATATCACGGTTCACAAATAAAGGCACTGTATTTATTTACATTTGAAGCTTAGACCAGGGGTGTTCAATCATTCTGGCTGGGGAATTCTGGGAATTGAAGTCCACAGGCCTTAAAGTTGCCAAAAATTGGAGGTCTGTAGAGATTCTCCGCAATCCAGGTTGTCCCAAAGGTGCTTTTTTTCAGGAGGCAACTGGACATTCTTGTTTTTCTTTGGAAGGCATTTTGCTTCTCACCCAAGAAGCTTCCTCAGCTCCAACAGGATCCTTCCCCATTCCCCACCAATCCTGTCAGAGCTGAAGAAGCTTCTTGGATGAGAAGGGAAACATCTTCAAAAGAAAAAAACAAACAAGAAAGTCCAGTTATCTCCTTTGGGATTGCCAAGGTTGGGTATCTCTGACTCCAGCTGTTTAAGTCACGGAGAGGTCATTCCTGTTTAGGGAAGAGCACTCTAAACATCGGTGCTTTGCCTGACATGCAAATCCTTCCTCTTTCTGCGGTTTGATTTATGGAAGGATGCTTTTCAGGAGAGACAGTGACCACTCTAATGGACTCTAAAAGTAGTTTCCCTTTTGGTTAACCAATCTCAGTTGGCTACTTAAAAGCTTCTTGCCACACATTTAATATAAATTACTCAAACCGTAGTTTGCAAATTATTGAGCATCTGCTTCAGGCCTCAAACGAATGAACAATATGGTTTCTACGCTGGCAAAATGCATCCTTTCCAGGTTTTTTTTTTTTTTTAACAGGTTACATGCTGACTGGGGAATTCTGGGAAATTGAGGGTGAGACAAGTTGCCAAGGGCTGAGAAATATTGCTTTAGAGGGAGAATTTGTGCATTGTGGAACAGCAGAGCAGCTCACTAGGTGGTCTTCAGATGGTTCCTGTGTGCTTTTTGTTGGAGAAATTGGCACGATAATTTGGGTGCAGCTGAGAATTAAGCACAACGCTTGTTTGGCAAGGAAAATCTGGTTTCTGCTGCATTTAATGGCAACGCCACTAGATGTCACTCACTCTTGATTCTCAGAGGCATGAATGGGACACCTGCTCTGGCCAAGGTGCCCCCTACTGGACAGTTTCAGGGGGAAAATGTTCGGCTCCCATTGCACTGAACTGTAATCCAGTGCAGAAACTGAGTTTTAGGTATTGTACAGTGTTGCATAATGACAGGCACAAAATTTAAAGAAAGCATTCTATTAAAGAATATTTTATTTGCACAACGCTTTTGCGTATGCATCACTCCCAGGATAATTCACAGCCCCCAAAAACGGGGGGGGGAGGGGGAGCAATTAAATCAAAGTCTCTTTAAAAACTTGTGTCCAATTGCCTTGCTACTTTTAGTGCTAAAAATTAAAAGCTAAAAGGAAGGCATGAAAAAGAGAAACAGGCCCTTTTTTCTGTTCGTTGCTTGACAAAAAGAGAATGAGATGGTCTAATTTGGTTTGTTGGCAACAAGAAGGATTTGTTTATGCTGGAATTGCTTCATGATCTGATGATTTTTCTTAACAACTTCAGTGATTTGCTTCACAACCATGGCCAAAAAAGTTCATAAAATTGGGTAGAACTCATCTTGGTCACCATGCTATAAAAAGATGTTGAGACTTTAGGAAAAAGGACAGAAAAGAGCAACCAGGATGATGAGGGGACTGGCGGTTAAAACATACGATGAACGGTTGCAGGAACTGGGCCTGGCTAGGGAAGAGAAGGACCATGGTGTCGTGCTTGGGTGGGGGGGTTAGACTAGATGACCTACAAGGTCTCTTCCAACTGTTAATCTGGATCTATCTAAGATGATCAAAGGCCTGGAAATTAAAACATACGATGAACGGTTGCAGGAACTGGGCCTGGCTAGTCTAGGGAAGAGAAGGACCAGGGGAGACAGGAGAGCATCTTCCAATATTTGAGGGGCTGCCACAGAAAGGGGTGGGGGGTTTGAAGCTATTTTCCAAGGCACCCAAAGGCCAAATAAAGAATAATGGATGGAAACTGATCAAGGAGAGATTCAACCTAGAAATAAGGAAAAGCTTTCCGACAGTGAGAACAGTCAACCCATGGAACAGAAGTTCCCTTTAGAAGTTGTGGGAGTGCCATCACTGAAAGCTTTCAAGAAGAGACTGGGTGGCCATTTGTCAGAGATGGTGTAGGGTTTCCTGCTTGGGTGGGGGGGCGGGTGGGGTTGGACTAGATGACCTACAAGGTCCCTTCCAACTCTGTTAATCTGTAAAACTTCCTTCGTAGTGAAAATTCTGCTCCGTGTTCCTCTTTCTCCAGGCTGGGTCCAAGCCGCCCCGAACTTGGAGGTCGAGAGCAACCCCAGCATTTCGGAGGCCCGCCGCCGCTCATCTCGCCCAAGCCGCAGCCCCATCCGGTGCCCACGTCGCTCTGGAACCCGGTCTCCTTGATCGAGAGCACCATGGAGGCTCGGAGGCTCCAGGAGAGCCACTCGCTCCCCGCTCAGGCCAGCTCCTACGAGCCCAGCCGGCAAGCCATCCCTTTGGTCAAAGTGGAGCGAGTCTACTGTCCCGAGAAAGTTGAGGATGGAGCCCGGAAAAAGGAACCTTTGGACAAACACCCATCGGGCCGGGAGACGGGGGGATCCGAGCCCGGTGGGTTTCCCCACGGACCCTTATTAAGCGAATGGGAGAAGCCCCTGCAGCAGAGAACCCCCCACCCCCAAAGCGTGCCGTTTGCTGAGGCGCTGAAGAGCCGGACGGGCTCCCCGTACAGGCACCTCCTACCCAGAGGCCACGATCCCATGTATGTTTACGACGAATTCTTGCTCCAGCAACGCAAGCTGGTCAGCAAGCTGGACTTGGAGGAGAGGAAGAGGAGGGAGGCTCAGGAGAAAGGTGAGCGGCCGTCGACCCTCCTCGGGGTTTCCTGCTTCCGACGAGAATTGGGAAACGGATAGAAGGGACCTTGGTAGCTCGGGGTCGAACTGCGGGGCTCCTTGGCGCTCTCCGAGCTCGGTGGTTTTCTCGGGGGCATTTCATGACCCTACTAGGGAACATCATCGGGGCTAGAAGGGAATGAGGTTTGTGGAGAGGAGGAGGAGAATTATTGTGGGGTTCTTGATGCTCCCTGAGCTCGGTGGTTTTCTTGCAGATGTTTCAAGACCCAACTTGGAAACGCCATCAGGGCTAGAAAGGAAAGAGGAGGAGAAGGGAGAAGGCGGGAGGAGAGAGAGGAGGAGGAGGAGGAAGGGGACAGTATCATGACCCAACTAGGGAACATCATCAGTGTTAGGAGAGAGTGGGGTTTACGGAGAGAGAGAGAAGCATTTTTCCAACGGAGGCGGAATCAAAGGAATAAAACGGGGGCATTACAAGGCCCAGCATCCAATCTGAGCCTCGCGCGTCTCTCAGGCCAAGCAAAGAGTGTCAAATAAAAGAACCCCTGTCTTGTTTCTGCTGAGCCCTTTGTCCCCCCACCCCGCACCCCAGGTTCCCCCCCCCCGCCCTCTCCCACCCACCCCCCCCCCCCCCCCCCCCCCCCCCCCCCCGGGTTTTTCCCCCCCCCCCCCCCCCCCCCCCGGGCCTAACCAGGGAGTTGGTTGCCACGCAAGCCTCCCTCCCTCCCTCCCTCTACAGCTCCCTTTGAAGCCCTATTTATTCCAAGCTGCTCTGCAAATTGTCTTCCTGAGACAGGCCCAATTAATAAATGATGAACGGAGACTAATAAAGCCGCTTTAAATATTCATCGAGAATGTACAGCCATGGTGGGATTTGCAAAAGGGAGGAAAACAAAACATTTTAAGTAGGAAGCGGGGCGTGGGGGGGGGCGTGGGGGGAGGCCACGCGGGGCTTCCATCCCGAGGCAGCTCCTTCCAGTTTGTCCCTTTGCAGGAGTGTGTTAGCTAGCACCGTGGTTGACTTCTATGCCTTGGGGGTGGGGTAGGGGGTGAGGGGGGGGTTGTGAGTTCCTTGTGCTGCCGTTTGCAATGCCCCAGGTGGCTCCTCGGCACGCCTGGAAGGAGGGGTCTTTGCAAACTGGCCTTCGCCCAGCTCCATTGAAGTCCTCAGGCCTGGCCTGTAATAGCCCGCGTGTGTTTTCTGCCTGATGGTCTCTTCTGGTTCAGGGAGACGGATGCCGACATCTTGTAGCAGAACAAACCAGGCTGTGGGGACAGAGCCAGCTGCCCTCTCCTGTTTAAAAGCACTGGAAGCCGACCGCTGGCAGCCTCCTGTTTTCCTCTCAGCTTTTTCCTGGCGTTCCTTAAAGCGGATGCTGGCTTGTATAATTTGTTCCTTGCAGGATCCGAATGTGTCCCCCCCACCCCCCACCCCCAGGCAAAATAGCCCTGGCTCAGGCTCCATGCATGGAGCCTGATGGGTAGCTACCACCATGTAGAGCAGTCTTGCACGATCGGTCCAGCTGCCCTTGGTGCCACGGTCCTTCTGGGAACCCAGAACAGCTGTGAGAATTAATCCAGCTCTTCCCTGAGAAGATCCATCATGGTGGGACACAGATACTTCCGATGGCATTGCTTGGGTTCCTGGAAGGAGAAGGAGGCACCTTGGTGCAGAAGTCAAGATGAGGTTTTTGGTGGGCCATCAAAGTTCACCTCTGCTCTGCTTCGGGTACGCAGGGTATTATTATGATCTGGATGATTCCTACGATGAGAGTGATGAAGAGGAAGTACGGGCTCACCTACGCTGTGTAGCGGAGCAACCCCCTTTGAAGCTGGACACGTCTTCTGAGGTAGGTCTCACCTCCTGTTCCCCATAATGATGTAGGCAGTGGTGGGTTTCAAAACTTTTTCCTGCCACTTCGGCGTGAGCGTGCATTTTGCATGCACGTGTGCATCCAATGCATGCACACACCAAACGTGTGCTTCGCCAGTGCACAGCAATTGCAACTCACCTTCTGTTGCAAGCCCTGGGTGTGAAACAGCTGACTCGTGGCAATCGGATATGCCGCGCAAAGCAGCTGAGGTTGAAAAGCAGGAAATAACGGTCAGAATAGAGCCAGGGACGGTGGGAGGGCCCAGCAGCTGATCGTCAGAGCGAACCGGTTTGCTTGGAGATTATCCTCGGTTCGGCTGAACCGGGCTGAACCAGTAGAATACCACCAATGGAAGTAAGTTGAAAGGTTCTGGCTTGAAATAGGGTGGTCGCTATCCCAGGAGGCACAGAGCAAATACATTGTACGATCTGTAGGGTTTTGCTTGGCCTTATCCCCAACCTAAGATGCATTTTTACAAGACAACCGAGACCTGAATTTTGATAGCAACCAGAAGTGTGGAGCCTTTCTTCTAACAGAGAACGCTTGCTTTGTGCGTTGGTTGGCCTTTAAAGATCAAACAATGCTTGATACTGGAAGATAAATTCTCCTCGGAGTCACAAAACTAAAGTCGATGTGGTGGTGGAGCCATGTGCCAATCTGGGGCTACTCAAGCCGAGGACACTTCCATAGTTTCAGTTGGCTGCACGAGTGATCTTAGACCTTTGGTTAAGTCACAGGTCTCCAAACTTGGCAACTTTCAGACTTGTGGACTTCAACTCCCAGAATTCCTCAGCCAGCATGGGAGTTGGAATCCACAAGTCTTAAAAGTTGCCAAGTTTGGGGACCCCCTGGTTTAGGTCATGGACATTTCTCTCCTTTTCTTCACAGCTGATATGCTTTTTATTAGAAAAGGTTGACTGGCTAGGTACTTCTCTCAAAACGAGATGCACTTCAGGTATTATTATGGCCTGCCTTCTTTTTAAAATCTGTCCCGAAGGACGTGACCTTTCTGGTGGCCAAGAAAACCAGGTCTCGGATGGCAGGGAAGCCCTGGCTGGTGTATATTTTAGCAAAAGAGAAAGCCTTCACCAATTGACTTTCCTGTTTGCTTCTTCTAGAAGCTGGAGTTCCTGCAGCTTTTTGGGTTGACCACTCAGCAACAGAAGGAGGAGCTGCTGATCCAGAAACGGAGGAAAAGACGGAGAATGTTGAGGGAGAGCAGCCCTTCCCCACCCACCATCCAGAACAAGCGCCCCACGCCTCCCCCTCGCTTCGTGCTCTCCACCCGTTACAGCCCGGATGAGATGAACCACAGCCCCAACTTTGAAGAGAAGAAGAGGTTCCTCACAACCTTCAACTTAACCCACATTACTGCAGACAAGAGGAAAGGTATTGGTCCAAGGGGCTGCAGGTTGTAGAGATTCATATAAAACAAACAGAGATGGAAGGGGACCTTGGAGGTCTTCTAGTCTGAAACGCTGCTCAGGTAGGAAACACATTTCAGACAAGTCTCCAGTCTCTTCTTAGAAGACTCCAGTGTTGGAGTATCCACAACTCCTGACAGCAAACCATTCTACTGGTTAATTTTTCTGTCTCCTTAGTTCTAGGTTGCTTCTCTCCTTGATGACTTTCCATCTGTTGCTTCTTCTTCTCCCTTCAGGGGCTTTGGAGAATAGATTGACCCCCTCGTCTTTATGGCAACCCTTCCAATATTGGAAGACTGCTATCATGTCACTCCTAGTCCTTCTTTCCAATAGACTAGGCATAGCCAATCCCAGCAATCATTCTTTATATGTTTTAGTCTCCGGTCCCCTAATCGTTCTGCCATTTTCTGGAGGGCCCAGGGCATTATTGTTATCTCAGATCGTTTTCCTGTCCTGAGCCTTGAAAAACATTCCTGCTGATCACCTAAACTGGCTATAATTCATACTCGACCCCTTGCAGATGGCTTTTGAAACACCCCTCGAGCAGGGATGTCAAACCTTGGCAACTTTGAAGACCTCTGGACTTCAACCCCTAGAATTCCCCAGTCAGCCACGCTGGGAATTAGAATAGAATAACAGAGTTGGAAGGGACCTTGGAGGTCTTCTAGTCCAACCCACTGCTTTGGCAGGAAACCCTACACCACTTCAGACAAATGGTTGTCCAATCTCTTCTTAAACATTTCTGATCTCGGAGCATTTACAACTTCTGGAGGCAAGTTGTTCCACTGATCAATTGAAGTCCAGAAGCCTTAACGTTGTCAAGGTTTAAGCTTCCAGCTCTTAGTTTTACTGTACCCAAGGAACTCTCTCCAGGAAGCAATGAACTAATTTCTTAAAAGGTGCTGAATGATCATTGACTCACACATGTATGTCCCATGGTTGATCCACCCAACCAGGGCCTTCTCCTAGACTATCAATAGGGTTCTTGGTTCCTGTTCTTGGTCCTTCAAAAACCACCTCTGCTTCCTGCTTTGCAGATAAAGAGAAGCTGGCAGAGATGCTTCACGCCATGAAACAAAAGAATACATGCACGGCACCGCCCGTCAAAAGCTCCCCACGGGACAGTCCTAGTATTGTCCAAGCTGGTAAGTAGCTATATAAATGGTGGCATCTCCTGGCAGGACCATGGACAGTGGCTTCCTGAGGCTGGGAGATTCTTCTGATGGAATCCCATCTCACCTGACTCTTTTTTCCGGCATCAATAGGAACTTTATAGTTTCCCCAAAACCTGCTTGGTCTGCTGGATGTTTTATCTCTAAGGACAGAGTGATTATCTTGATTTTTCCCATTAGAAGAAGGTCAGAGGCACTTGCTTCCATGGCGCTCCCAAATTAGCATCTGGCGGAAACGCAATCTTTTCCCATCTTTGCAGAAATTTCGAAACATGCCCCTTGAGCCTCGTTATCTCCAAGTGCTTCTGAAATCACGCCAAGACAGACCAGGGTTGGGAATAGGGGAAGCAGAGAAGAATCGTAGTTAACGCTCTGCAGGAGGACAGTTGCAGTTTGGGTGGTCCCCATTAGGGCCTTTGTCAAATAAAATCACTGATCTGGGCTTCCTCGTTGTGTGTTTGTGCGCATAACTGCCTGGAGCAATTAACAGGTTTCCTCTACAAGGGAGGATAAGCTTCAAGCTACCCCAAGGAAAGGTTTGAAATTAAATTGCTGTCAAAAGTGGGTAATGGGTGAAGTGCAATGCCTCAATTGGCCCACCTCAAAACTATCCCTGGGAAGCGGGTGATGCCAGGGTAGAAGCAAATGTAGGAGCCGACGAAACTTCTTGGATGGGAAGAGAAATGTCTTCAGGAAAAAACCAGAAAGTCCAGTTGCCTCCTGAAAAGAGCACCTTTGGGATAACCATGACCTGGAGGACTCAAAATCTCCATAGTTTTTTTTTTAAATTAAATGGAAAGGTTTCTTCCCATTTAGGGTTGGGTCATCCATCTCTGTTCTGAGCAAGGCTTCCTAGACCGTAATTACACACACACTCATTTTAAAAAGAAGTCTTATTGCAACGCTGGGAATTGTTTTCATGCCCAGCCAGTAATGAATCTCAAAACAATCCCTTGAGATAAGCACCCACCTTTCTTTTCTGTGAAGTGCTGCCAATCATAGAAGTGTCCAATGAACTAGGACAAAAACCAACCGAAGTACAGAGAGCTTCAAGAATGAATCTGAACTGAACAAAGGACTTTGCTTCCTGCAAAGGTTTTGTCATCTTGGCCTGACTTTTATTCCTTATGGGAGGGGCAGTCAACTCCCAGCCTTACTCCTGAGTCACACCTTTTGTTTCAGCTGCTCTCATCTTCTAGCAGCTCTGCGCAGATGCGCATTGGGAACAGGCTCCCCTGGTTCCTCTGCCTTGCTGCTGCCAGATTCCGGAGGCTCTGGAGTCAGCCCCCCACTCCCAGATGGTCCTGGCCCCATCTCTGCATCTGACACAGGACCCACGTCCAAGTCCTCCCCAGATTCCCAGACTGGTCCCTGTTCTTCCCCACTGTCCGATTCCACTGCCATCTGCACAGGCTGCCAGCATACCACAACAACCTCCTAACCTGGAGTAGGAATCCCAGAGGTGTCACAGGGTAGACTCATCTTCTGGGTCCTAACTGACGTGTGGCTTTTTTTTCTTCCCAAAGACTCACAAGTCCAGCAAACGACGCCGTCGGACTTGGATAAGCCAGTCGGTGTTGCTCCGGCGTCTCTGCCGGAAGCCCAGAAGCCCATGGAATCCTGCAGAACAAATCACCTGAGGCCCCACGACTTTTCCAGAGCCAAAGAGCCCGTCCCTCTCCCTGCTGCCGAGAAGCCCAGGCTGAGCGACGGGCACACCGTCAAAAAGAACTTCACCCTCCTGAACTGCGTCCGGGGCCCTTTGCCCAAAGAGATCCCCGTCCCGCTCTCCCACAGCATGAATGGGAAGAACAAGCAGTGGGAACCCTTCCTTGCCGAGGAGTTTGCGCACCAGTTCCATGAGTCCGTCTTGCAGTCCACACAGAAGGCTTTACAGAAACACAAAGGTAAGGGGAAGTGAGGCCACCTGACCCCAGAGAGAGAGGGGGGGGAGAGAGAGGGGGGGAGGTTAACTCAGGGGTGGGCTGCTGGGAGTTTGGGAGATCCACTAGCTAAGATTCTGCGCCGTTTGGAGAACCCCAAATCCCACTCCTGGTGGGCCCCACCCATCCCTCCCCGGAGTCCCTACACAACCTGTTTTGGTAAGTCCAGGGCACCAGCGGAGGCTTGGGGAGGGCGAAAAACGGCCCTTCCCGGAAATCGGCCTGTTTCTGGCTTCCAGAGAGTCCCGAGACAAATCAGAGTTGCGCTTGGTCGACTCTTCATCAAACTGGGTGCCACAACGCCTTCCTTTGTGTCTGCCGGCCTTTAGGCAATGCAATGGCTCATTCGGCGGAGCAGAACCACAAAGTGGACGCTTCCATCCATTATAACATTCCGGAGCTGCAGACTTCCAGCTGGGGGTCTTTGCCCCAGCAGAACGGGCAGAAAGATCCCCAGCACAAAGGATCGATTCCTCCAGAGCACCAGAAGATCTCGGATTCTGAAGAAGACGAGGAAGACGAAGAGGAAGAGGAGGAGTACCCCAGACCAAAATGGCATGGGATCGAAGCGGTCTTTGAGGCTTATCAGGAGCACGTGGATGGTAAGATGCCGCGGTCCGGGGCGGCGTTTTCTCAATCTTTTCAGACGTGTGGACTTCAACTCCCAGAATTCCCCACAGCTGGCTGGAGAGTTCTGGGGAGTTGAAGTCCCCAAATTTTAAAGCAGCCCAAGTGTGAGAAGGACTGATTCAGGAGATTGCCACCCTCCCATATTTTTGCTTTATATTGATTTTTTCAGGAAAAACAGAGGAGGTTGTGATTCTTTTCCAAAGAGTGGATTTTTTTTTTTCCATTAACCAGTTGCATCTTCGGTATTCTTGCTCCAGATCAGAAGGAAACTTTTGACCTGGAGAGATTTTCTGTGTGCGATAGATTCCCATATTTCAAACATGATATCCAGGTTATGAATGTGCCAACGAAGACTCCGTCGTCTCTGAAAGCTGAATGATGGAAGAAGCCACATAAACTATTCTTAGTTTGGGACATTTTGCTGCTTATCCAAGCAGCTTCATCAGTCAGAACGCGTCAGTTCCCCGTTGTTGTGATTTGACCTCCTGATACCTTTGCCTGGATCTCTGAGGGGGCTTCACTGACATACTGCAGTGTGTTTGGGGAGGAAGCCCCTGAGGTTGATGTGGCAAGAGTGGGTGCAATTTCAGTGACTGACTCTCTGACTAGATGACTTCCTCTGACCAAGGAAGATACTCAGAGGAGCAGCGAAACATTTCAAGGTGACAAAAATGGTGTCCCTCGCCATGATTCGACCTTAAGTTGCTGGCAAGTGGTGCAAAGATGGAAGGAAGCAATTGAAATGACCAGATGAATCAGGATTTGTTCCCTTTTGGGAAGGAAAGCTTACAGGATTTGAAACGCAAAGCGCTAAATTTTGATAGGATGATATTGACAGATGCACCATTACGCATTGACCAATTTGTTGTCCATGGTGATTACTGATTGATGGCTACTGAGTAGGGACAGTGCTTGGAGTTGTTGGCGATAGCCCAATAAACAAAAGCATCCATTGAGAACAATAATCCTTTATTTTTCTAGATAGAGTGAGCATTTAGTTGTCCAAGTTACCGAGAGAGAGAGAGAGAGAGAGAGAGAGAGAAATGGAGGGAGGGTGAGAAGCAGATATAATCACTCAAATGTGCGTACGCCAGACTGCTGGGGGTGAGCAGGGACTTCATTTTTGCAATCTGTTGCAAATTCCATTTGCAATCCAGCAAGCTAACTCTGAAAGGAACAAGATGTTAAAAGGCCATTCTTTTTTCAAGAAAAAATCCCTTTGTCTGTCTATCTCTATCTGTTTCATCCTTCTCTCTCTCTCTCTCCACCTACTTACCTACCTACCTATTTATCTATCTATCTATATCGGATTCTGGAGCATCTTGCTGGAGAAGGCAGAGAAATTTCATTTTTCTTCCCCCAAAAGGCCAGTAGGCTACTTCTGAATGCTCTGACGTGTAGATTACAATTTTTATTTATTTATTTAATATGAAATTTATTTCCCGCTCATCTTGTATCTGACCTCCCACCATGGTTTGGGCGGGGAGGAAGGGCCTGGGTTTAGTTTCCCAAAATCTGAGAAACGGGCTCCATGCAGGTCTAGCCTGAACCAGAGAAGGTAGCAGCTATGCCCAGTACTGTGCCTTTGCCAAAACAGCATCTGAGCTGGAAAGGTAGATTAACATCTTTATTTATGCATGTAAGTATCTCTCCCACAGGTACAAGGTGGGAAAAGACCCTTAGAAATGGGAGAAACCACTTGATGTATTTATAGTTCAAATCTATTGGGTTTGGAATAGGCCCGTCCATTGGCCAGCCTCATTGGAGGCGTTCCTTGTTAGTAAAAACATTGTTCATTGTTCTTGCTCTCATCAGTTGACTAACCAGTTCAACGTGCATTACAGAGCAAAACCTGGAACGACAAGTGCTGCAGACCCAATGCCGACGTTTAGAGGCCCAGCACTACAGTCTCAGTCTGACTGCAGAACAGCTCTCGCACACCATGACGGTGAGTAGGGCTTCAGCCCCACAGCTAAACGGGCAAGAGTCCGTCGGGAGGTCAACCCATCCGTGAGTTATCTTGGCCAAACAAGAGGACCATGCCTTTTCAGCGGTGTGTGTGTGTGTCTGCGTGAGTGTGTGTGATTGATTTCGTCATTAAGACTCCAGGCTTCTGATCTCTTCTTGGTTTCCCATCCACCTGTCAGCTTTGGAAGCCATATTGAGACCAGACGCTTCCGCACGGCCACCTTCTTGAGCCTGGGAAAACGGGACGGGGGAATTTTTTGAAGTGTATGTGGTTAGGCATAATAGCATTCTTTTTCTAATTCAAGGTCATGTTATTTCTGCACCTGGGTGAGGGGAGTCTCAAGTTGGGATGGATGGTGATTGGGGCATGTGATGTAATGATGGGTGCAGGGGGTAGATTTGCAGTTTTTACTTATTATTGCAAGGAAGCCCGGAACTTTCAGATTTGGGATTCCCCAGTTGTGCCAGTTTACAATCCAAATAAAACAGAACTTTTGAGAAGATGCCTGTCTAGGAGTTATTGGTTGAAGTGGAGGTTTTCTGGAACGCTGACACCACCTTTGCTTAGCTCCTCTGCAACTCAGTCCCAGGCACCGTGGATATTGGTCCCTTTGGCATAACATAATGGTTGCAAAAGAAGACATTTTGGACTCGGGGAAGGTTCTGTGACGCTCTCCGTTCAGGAGTTGTAGTTTTGGTGCTGTGTTTTCTACAATACTATAAACCAGGGGTGTCCAATCTTGGCAACTTCAGGACTCTTGGGCGTCAACTCCCAGAAATCCCCTGCCAACCAGGCCACTTTAAGACTTGCGGGCTTCAACTCCCAGAATTCATCAGGGAGTACGGCTGACGGGAGAATTCTGGGAGTTGGAAGTCCGCAAGTCTTAAAGCGGCCGAGATTGGACAGCCATGCTATAATATTCTGCCTGCCTCAGTGGAGGAGAAAGAGGCGACTGTCTCAAAGATTCTGCTTTCCTTTGCAGGAACTAAGGAACCAGAAGCAGAAAATTGTCTCGGAAAGGGAACGGATTCAGGCTGAACTCGATCACTTGCGAAAGTGCCTTGCGTTGCCTGCCATGCAGTGGTCCCGGAGTTATTTCAAGGGCTATCCCAGGTGACACGCCCTTGCACTAGGCCAAACATAGCGTATAGAAATAATAATAATAATAATAATAATCTATTTTATTACCTGGAATATTTAATATTTTTCATGGGGAGGTTTGAAGCTTAAATAAATAATAATAAATAAATAAATCAAAAGGATGTGCCATGCATGGAGTAAAAAAAAAAAAAAAAGATTTGTTTTTGGCGGGAATCCAGAAAAAAAAATCTGAACTCCCACCTCTTTAAAAAGTGCAACTGAACTCTGAGACTTATTATTATTAAAAAAAAAAAAGAATTTTTTTTTTTTGGTGACTGCAAGTTGATCCATTTAGACGAAAAGCTACGTTCTCAAGACATTGGAAAGGGTTAATTTTCTTTCGGCATCCTCGTCCGCTTTTTTCCTTCTCTCTCTCTCTCCTTTTTGGTTTTGGTTTTTGTCTTTTGAAGATCTTGGTTGAGCCCGAAGATTCCATCAGTGACGCTAACTGTTCGCCTCCTGTCCTCGAAGGAGCCGCTGGGTTTAAATATCCTGGCTTTGCGCTCCTTGTCGTTGCCATATCCCCCTTCGACTGCGATACTTGAGTCCTGTTTTATTTGTTCTTGAAACCTGTTTGTCTCTTCGTCCGAGTATATACCCTCCATTGTTTTTTGGTTAGAATGAACTGGATATTTTGGATAACCGTAAACCTGCAGAGTTAATAAATCTAGTAGAAGAAAACGCAGCTCCCCCCCACGCCGGACTTCCCATGCATCCGTCAGCTTTCGGGCTGGAAGTGCACTTCAACTTGACAAATAAAAAGTGAAAAAACAAAAACAAGGTACCTTTTTATTCCTGGGGAGGGGGCTGTGGGGGGCGGGGAAGGGCAAGATGTACAGACCATACCAATGCATAGATTATGTACCCAGGCGGGTAGAATTTTCATACAAAGATTTTGCAATTAAAAGAGTTGGAAAAAAAAAAAAGGTGCTTCAGCCTTAGTGTGTATATATTTAAAAAAAAAAAGTTTTGTATGTTTTTATTACTTTAATTATTATTATAAAAAGCTTGCCATTTTCAATATGTTTCTGCTTTTTTTTTTCCTCTCTTTTTTTTTTTGGCAAAAGGAAAAAAAAAAAAACAGGCTTGCTTTTAAGTGTTTTTACAGCTGCTGGTCAGGACCTGATAAAATAATAAGTGCTTTTTTTAAAAGGAATTTTAAAAGGAAGCTTTCTGCTGGGCAAGTGCAAGCCACCTGTTGGTATTTGGCAGCGTGGAGCACCAGTTGCTGGTGTAGAAGGCCTCTTGCTAAAAACAGAATTATCCTTTTCCCCTTCGTTTTCTCGTGTCTTTCCGTCCTCTGCTTCCTCTTTTTTCTTAAAGCACTTGGAATACCAACTGTGCTTAACTGCTGTTGAGGAGACAAAAGAGACCACTAAGATTTTAGTTACCAGATTTAAGCCGTTGAAGTAGATTTAGTCATCGTCCGTTTTACCTGCAACATCTCAAATCATACGTGGGGGGCGTCGATTTTCTGAGATGTAGGATTTTTTTTCCCTTCCATCCTGAATCCACAAAAAAGTATACGGAAAAAGAAGGAAACGGTCCTGCTACTTATTTAAAGCCAGACTTGTTCACACACAAAACACCCAACGTGGTGGCAGCTACTGCGGGCAGCCCATTCTGAAAGGGGACGGGTCGTTCTCAACTTACGACCGTTTGCTTAGTGTCCGCCCCAGTTACAATTGCACTGGAAAAAAAAAGTGACTTCTTAATTAACAGCCGTCGAAACGTTTTCAGAGTTTCTGGGCACTTTGGCAACCAACTTGCCTTTAGGGTGGTTGCAAGATCCCAGGGGTGGGTAGGGACTTCAATGCCCACCTTCCCAGCCAGCTTCCAATAAGCAGAACCAGTGGAAGAAGTGGGATTTACTTAACAATGGTGGTTATTTGTGTGGCAAAAAGGTGGTAAAATCAAGCAAGGGACTCGTTGAACAACTGTCTTACTCAGCAGTGAAACGCTCTAGTTCTAGTTGTGGTTCTCAGTTGAGGACTAACTGTGTATTTGTAAATGGATCCCCGCAGTGGTGGGATTCAAATTTTTTTACTACCGGTTCTGTGGGTGTGGCATGGCTTGGTGGGCATGGAAGGGAAGGATATACTGCAAAATCCCCCTTCCCTCCTCACCCCACTAACCTGCTTTCCAGCTCCGTTGTCCTGGGCAGGGCAACCAAAGGAGACCCAGCCGATCAGCTGGGACTCAATGGGAGGCAGAGAATGGATGGGGCAGAGCTAGTCAGAGGTGGGATTTGCTGGTTCTCCAAACTACTCAAAATTTCTACTACTGGTTCTCCAGAACCGGTCAGAACTGGCTGAAGACCACCTCTGGACCCCTGCAAACTTGCCTGGGTTTTTTTGCGCTTAGCTGGCACCAGAGAGCTAAATGCCACCATCTTTCCTGCAAAATGAAATTATCTACAGGTATATTCGTGTAATACAGTGGGTCTGTGCTGATTCTTTACCATAGGACTCTGGTGGCAAACCTATATGCACAGGTGCCAGAAGTGGCATCCAGGGGTCTCTCAGTGGGCACACACGCCATCGCCAGCTGCTCTTCTGGGTTTTGGCACTGGCCAGCTGGTCTTTGTGGACACCTGAGTGCCGGAAAATGGCCCCAAAACCAGGCTGTTTTTCGGTCTGTTTTCAGGCGATTTTTGGCCCAAAAACTGGCCTGAAAACTGCTCGAAAAACAGCTCAAAAATGGCTCGAAAAATGCCCCCCAAACCCATGCATGCATCGGCCAGCTGGTCTTCAGTTTTCTGGCACAGTTTGGGGCAGGTTTGCCATCGCTGTCATAGGATATATGAGAGAGGAGCTTGAACGAAGTACCCCTTTGGGACCTTTTAAAGTAGCTGTGTCTTTCTCCAAATGGCAGCTAGTCTGCAACTTCACGACCAAAACGGAGCCCAACATTGCTGTGGTTAAGCGAGACATTTGTGACGTGAATCTTGCTCCATTTTACCACCTTTCCTGCCGAGGTTGTTAAGTGAAACCCCTCCAGTTGATAAGCTTGCAAACCCGTTTGGTAAAAGTGAACCTGGCTTCGCCTCGCCAGGTTGCCCAAGGGGATCACATGACCTTGAGATACAGCAATGGTCTTAAATGTGAACCAGCTGCCAAGCACCTGGAGTTTAATCGCGGGGATGCTGGAAAGGTCACCAGTGTGCAAAATGGCCCTTGGTCCCTGTTTTCAGTGCTGGTGTAACTTTGAACGGTCACTAAATGAACTGTTGTAAGTCGAGGACTGCCTTTAGCTGCTTTGAGAATGAGGTTCCTCCAAGAATTCTCTCCCTGGTCTTAAAAGATTCAAAAAGAAAGGTGTTCCTCTGCCTTTTGAAGCAGTGCAGCACGTGGCTTTTGAATACCGGCCATCTTAATTCGGCGGCTCACATTGTGACGGCCATAACTTTGCAGCGCTTCTAAATATTTATAAGGAATTGGTTGAGGGTTTAGCTTTTTTTTTTTTTTTAATTTAAGGACGGATCTGGGCGACTTTTTGACCTTGAAGGCATCCAGACAGATTTCCTCAATCCAACCCTTGGATTTTAGCTATTCTTTCAAAAGGGAAAAAGAAAAAAAAGAATTAACTGTGAAATGGACAATCTCAGAACAGAATCTTTTTGTTAGGGGCCAAGTGGGTAAGTTAACGTGGCATGTCCTTCTGTAAGCTTCTTCCGCTTAGAATGTCACACTCTTCCTCGTTTCACATCTTCCTCCGCTGTTAACTTGTTTTGCAACGGGAAAGGACGGCCGGAATATAAAGATTGCTTTCTGCAATTTAATAAGCGGGAGAGAGAGTTGGCAATCCCTAGAGATGGCTGTACTACAATTCCCAGCATCCTTTGTCGTTGGCTGTAGTAGGGCTGGGCATGCTGGCTGTTCAGTATCACCCAGAAAATTGTAGCATTGCAAAGCTCTGCTTAGGCCAATGTGTCCAAGCCCATACTTTGCTCCAGGTCAATAACCAAATTAAAAGACCTGCAACAGATACAGCTGGCAAGTCTGCCACCGCGCGTTCCATGACTTTTTGAACTACTCTTACTAGTTAGGAAGTTTTGCCTCATTCTGAGCTGCCGCCTGCCTTTCTTTGCTGACCAAACCACTAGTATCCCTGAGAACCGACTATATACATTTCATTTTCAGACTCAGTGCTAAAGCCCCCTATCCCAAAAGAGGCTCACTTCCTATTCTTGCTCTCTTCAAGGTCAATCTCTTCCTCTTGATTCTCCAACCTCTTTATAGAATTCATAAATTGCCCAGAAGAGATTGAAGTTAATCTCAATATAGTTTTGAATATTTATTGAATTCATAGCTCACCTTTCTACCTAAAGGAGTTTAGGTTTTTAAGTCTCTTTGCAGCAGCAAACATGTACCAGATTCTTTTTATTTATTTTTCATCATGTCTTATCCTTTATTGGCTGATGTGCAATGTTGTGTTTATAGCGCTATTGAAAGAAAAAAAAATAAAAACGAAGGAACTGCAAATGGAAAAAGCACTCTTACAGGACTGTAGGAATACTTACAGGGAAAGAGAACCCAATGGTTTTTGTGGCTGCTTATAAAGATAAATTCAGCCAGGGCAGCTGCTTCATCTAAGTGTCCCCAGCCTTGCCTGGACGCTTCCCAATTCTATGCAACTCTTAATACCAAAGTCCTTGCCATTTTTCAGAAGAAACTGTGTGACAAGGGACATTAAAGAGCAAATTTAGTGGCCTATTTTTTTTTAAAAAAAGATCTTGCTCTTAGTTGTGGCCAAATACTCTTGATTTATTTACCTGAGTATGTAAATTGGCCCAGGTCTGAATATCCCCCTGTGCGAATCACCTCAGACAATCAGCTTTCATGAAGCATGAGAAAAAAAGGAACGGAAATCATGAAAAGACGTTCAAGTTATTTCCTTTTTCTGCCTCTAATGACACTTGGAGGTTTGCCTTCAACAAAGGGAGGGGGGGAAAGCCTTTTTTTTTAAACGTCATGATGACATCCTGCAGATGTTACCAAAAAGCAAAACTTGGACGGGGTTTTTATGCCCTGGTCCCAAGGCTGCTGAAAAGGATTCAACTTAAGAAACCGCAATATGTTCAGGACTTAGGCCTTTTTGTGATGATGGACTTACAAAAGCCAGCCTTGGAAGAAGGCAAAATTAAGACAGCCAATACATTTAAGGGGGCAGTAAGACAAGAGTAGCAAAGGCTGCCCTTAAAAGACAGCCACGTGGGAAAACCGGCACTCTCACCGTTTCTGACTCCGTAACGAATGCCACCGTCCCACCTTTTAAGATCACAAAGAGGCGGTTTGGCAGAGCAAATATTTCCACATCCTGCTTATCCGCTACGGGAGCAACATCCGCCAAAAGATAGTGATCGCGCGTTTTCCTTTTCTGTTTTCTGCAAGGTTTTTCCCTGATAAGGAACAGCGGAGGAGGCGAAAGGGCGGGCAGGGGAGGCAATGTGGACCCAAGCTGTTGCAATCATCCTTCTATGCATAATTGCACTATTTCCCCCTTCTCCAATAAATAGGATGTCGGCTATATTTTGCGTCATGTGGCTTTGGTTTTCCCCGAGCCTGGCCGACATGTGCTTTTTAAGCACCTGCAGGAGAGCCAACTGGCTTGATTTCCATGTATTAAAAGAACGAATGTGCACTTAGTCAAGCTTGGTTGGAGGCCAATGTAAGCTGCAGAAGCTGGCGAGAAAGCCACCATTTTCCTAAAATAGGCCCGGGGATGTTTGAAATACTTTCTCACCCACGATGCCGAACAGATAAAAACAGAGATTAAAAAGGTGCTAACATTGAGGGGGTGGGGGGGAAGAAACAATAGCCCACTTTGGACCAATCCATCTTTGCAAATGTTTTTCCTTTCCTTCTCCCCATCATTGTGATAGTTGCTCTTGTTCTCCGCCCACCCCCCATCCAAAGCCTCCCATAAATGTCCTGGCCCGATGCTTACAATTATTATTATTTTTTTAAAAGAACTCATTTGATCTCCCTTGGACCGTCGTTTGGTGTCATGTGTAGGATTTCTTCTGCAAAAAAAAAAAAAAAAAAAGCACAGAGCTTGAGGGGAGGAGGAGGAGGAGGAAGAGGAGGAGGGCCAAGGCCCAGGCTGGGGCAGTAGATGCTGTGAAACAGATTCAACATGTTTTAAGTGTACTTGTTTTGACTTAAATGTAATGTAATATATTTGTTGAATGTAGTTATTAGGTATTTATGAATATATGGCTGTAATTTCTGACGACATCCAAAAAAAAAAAAGTAATAAAATGTTCCTAAATCATGACAAAGGATTATTTTCCCAGACCACCCACCCACCCACCCACCCTTAAATAGAAGCTCCATCAGCCCCTTGTATTAGAAGTGGGGCCTTGGACAAGAGAGAGCCAGTCATCTAGCAGCTTCACAATTTACTCTGGGGTGCCTCAAAACCACTGAAGGAAGAAACATGTTCACAACATCTGGATTAAATTAGGATAGGAATCCCCCACCAGCATCCAGTCAAGCTGGTTTTCAAACAGGCCCCAAGATAACATATGTGTAGGAAAACATACAAGTGTATTGAAAAGAAAGGTATATCGGAAAAAGCATAACAATTGCTTTAATATTTGAAGCTTTGATTCCTCATCAAAAGTTAATAGGGGCTCAGACTTAAGAGCACTTAGGTTAAAGATATATGTTGTTTTAGTACATATTAGATTCACCTGCAAAAAAAAAACATAATCTAATGTAAAAGCACTAATTTGCTGAATAAGATTCATTGAAATAAGATTTATGAATAAGATTTATTGAAACTCTAATACCAGTGTTGAAACTTGAAAGTAATTAAAGATCTACATGCAGCAAAAGGTAACAACTTACACTGAAGTTCCACTTAACAAATATTTAACCCTCCAGTTCTTTATATAAGCTTTTTCATAAACAGGGACAAGCCACCGTGTGTTACACAACACTCATTTTCTTGTGAACCCTCTTCTGAATGCAAAATGTTCTGAGGCGTAACCCGCAGTAGAGGTCAGAGAGTTACAACCGTAGCAATGTACTGCTTTTTAAAATATTTATTTGATCATTACCTAATAAAACACTACAGCAAATCCCTGTAGCGCCCCCGCATTGTGAAGTGCTGTCTACAAATATTTAAAAATTGATGGCTAACAACATGTGTTATTATGACTAACAGTAAAAATGCTTATATGATTAATACAGTTAGAATCTGGCTACTTGCAAACAGCTGGTTTAGTCAGTCTCCAAAGCAAGCAAGCAAGCATTAAAAGAAGAATGGAACCGAAGCCAAACTCTCTGGGGTTTGTGGCTTCGTTTCTTCATAAAGCTATTCTTTCTCTTTTGGCAGACACACACACAAAAAGGCGCCATACGTCAGTGATCACATTCACGGCTTTCGGGGGTGGAGGGGAATTTCTTTCTATCCGAAGGTGACGGACAGGTAGATTTCAGTGAGTAACACTGCGGTGAATCCAGTGTTGGATGTAAAGCTGAGTTGCCAGGCAAAAGGAGTAAGTCGCTTCCCCTGGCAGGCCACCCAGAACTATGCAGTCGGAAGACTAAAACAATCTCCTTTTCCATAAAGATCAGAAGGTATTGGCTTTGAAAGAACAGCATCCATCAGAAATGGAATTCAACTTGTTTCCTCCTTCCAAGCTATCACAAAAGGCAGGCGACCTTGACTAGCTACACGGATGCATCTTGAAAAGGGCACTCCTGCAAGCACTTGGGGAGTGTGTGGGGCAAGAGCCTGCTTGCCAAGGAGAGTCAGCGTTGTCCTCACCCGCCAAAGACAATGCCAGGACTGTGGTAGCGCTGGCAGAGGTACCAGGCTGATAATTGTTCAGCAGACCAATTGCTTCCCCCCACAAGCAAATGCTGTGAAGAGCGTTTCATCACAATCGGTCACAGCGTAGAGTTCTGCTCTGAAACCAGTGAATGCCAGAGAGGTAAAGGCTGGAAGGAACCGTTCTGGTCACGAAAATCCCCTGCTGTCAAAATTCCTGGGACTCGACATTCGCTCCTACCTGGAGGTTTGATCGCAACTTGTACATGTGATCCAAAGCTTGGGTGAGGAAAGCCCCGGTGGTGCTGATCTCCATCAGAGTCAGATTGTCCAGCTTATTAAAAAGAAAGAAAACAACACAGCTTGAAGGAGTGTAAGTGCCAGGGTTGACCTTCAGAATTGCACTATTCACTCTTTAAAAGCAAGCCAGTCTTTAGTTCCCATGACTGACGATGTTAGCATCTGACAATAACTGGGAGATAATTTAGTCTGCATTTCATTAAATCTTCACCTTTAATCACTATTTTGCATTTCTTCTTTAGTTAGTTTTGAGATCTCTTTATACATTTATTTACCTCTTTCCCAGAGCTTGAAGTGATCCCAAACAAGGCTTCTGTAAACATAGTTTGTTACACGCCTTCAATTTATATCCCATGTCTGCTAAAAGAATTTGGAAGGTAGGTCAACAGTTATGACCTGCGCCCATAATGAAATGTTATAATCCATTCAGTTTAGGACTGGCAGGGAATGATGTAAGTTGCAGTCCAATATATATGGAGGGCACATAAATGAGGAATAAAATGCATACCCGTCATTCGGATAAGTGATAATCAACCTGCAAACCTTAGTTTGTTAGACTAAAGAGATACATACCCACAAATGGGTACTTTTATTACAAAACAAATGCTTGTATTATGCATTTGGGTACACAGCCACATACAGAAGTCATCATTTCAGTAGGCTGCAGTCAAGTCAAACCATTAAGTATACACAATTGCATTTTTTGCATGCATTTGTGCGCAAAACCTCTCTATGCTTGCAAGACTACATAGTACTATCACTGCTATCAAGTAATAAAGATATATTCTAATATTCTAGAATTGATATACGTAGTATCACTTTCATGATTACTTTCACATATATTCTTCCAAGGACTACAATCCTTTCAGCAGGTTGCTCTTACCCTGGCATGAGCTTCTTGTTGTCTGACAAAACTATCTGCAGATACACGAAGTTTCGCTATTCGGGTGTCCCAGATATCCTTAACCAAAGTTCTTATCTCATCAGCCTTTGGAATATTATCTGCAGCACTAACGCAGAAAAGAAATAGATTGGTGGGTTTACAAAATGGTAGTGGTTACACATGTTAAAAGAAATCCTTGATATAAACAATGATATAAACATCGCTTCTCGGCCTTTTGGCTAAGATCAAGTATAGATATAAACAATGTTAATTAGCTTCTAAGTACAAACAAAAAATGTCAAGCAATATACATTATTAACATTAAATAACTATATATTATATAAAATAATAGATGCAAACAGATTAGAAAAGTGCTCTGGAGCATCTGCAATTTATAGAGTTCTTGCCAATTTCCAATCCAATGCAATCCTAGTTTTTTTGTGCTCTGGCAGAATTAGAATTTGCTACATTTCTCAAACATTATTACAAATAAGAAACCTACTCACTAGTTCAGCAGCAACTTTGTTAATTCCATGTAAAAAGGGTTAGGCATTGGGGTGAAAGTGTCCTCTTTGCGTTCCTGATCTCGCGTTTGCTCCAACTTTTCTACAAAGCAGTTTAAAAAATAAGAGCCATAAGAGAAATTTTCCAGAAGTATTTATTTTAAAATCCGGGTTAGAAACCAGGAGACGGCGAGTTCTGCCTTAAGCAATTGAGTGATTTCAGGCCAATCACTAGGCAACAGTGAGTTCTAGTCCCACCTTGAGCAAAAAAAGCTGGCTGGGTGACTTTGGGCTAGTTCCCTCTCTCAGCCCAACCCACCTCAGGGTTGTTGTTTTGGGGGAAAATAGGAGGAGGAAGTATTATACTGGCAGGTTATAAATAAGTCAGTACAGGTAGCCCTCGACTTAATTTAGTCCCCATTACAATAGCACTGAAAATAGTGATTTGTGGCCATTTTTCACGTTGATGACTGTTGCAGCATCCCAATGGGATGCTGCAATGGGATTTCCATGCTTGACAACTGACTCGTATTTATGACGGTTGCTGTGTTTCAGGAATCATTTTGTGACCAGGCAAAGTCAACGGGGAAGCCAGATTGACTTAACAACATGGATTCACTTAACGAAGGGGGTCAGAAAAGTCGTAAAAACAGGACAAACGTGCAGATGTTTCATTTAACACCATAAAATTTAGGCTCAATTGTGGCCGTATGTTGAGGACTGACTACCTGCAATACAATGAGAAGAATGTTGAGCATGCTGCCTTCTTGTGCAACCAGCTGGAAGGCCCAAAGGGAACCTGGGCAGGGGAACATGGTGTTGAGGGTGCAAACGCGTCACTCCTTACCCACGTCCATCCAGTCGGGGGGCACCAGCCGGCACTTCTGCCTCTGTTTCAGGTTGAGGGCCAGCCAGAGAGGCACCTCCACAGGCAGCCCCGGGTTAAAGGGGCCCAGCTCACCCTGCAAGAGGTGGAGAAACTCAGCCAGAGGGCCCCCTCCCCAAATGGCCCACCTGCCTGCACTTTATGTGCCACACTTCCCCCTCCCCTCCAGTGATGGGATTCAAAAAAATTTACTGTCGGTTCATGGGTGTGGCTTGGTGGGCGTGGCAGGGGAAGGATATACTGCAAAATCCCCTTCCCTCCCCACCCCACTAACCTGCTTTCCAGCTCCATTCTCCTGGGCAGGGCAACCAAAGGAGACCCAGCCGATCAGCTGGGACTCAATGGGAGCCAGAGAGGAGGTGGGGTTGGCGGGGCCAGTCAGAGGCGGGATTGGCCGGTTCTCCAAACTACTCAAAATTTCCGCTACCGGTTCTCCAGAACTAGTCAGAACCGGCTGAATCCCACCTCTGCCCCCTTCCCCAAAAAGCTGGGATTCCTCCCCTCCCTCCAAATCTCTGCTTATTTCAGAGGATTTGCCCAAGAGAGTTTGCTCAGGCCGGCTGGCTGGGGATGATGGGGATGGAAATCCCCCTCCCCACAGGCAAGATGGGAAGAATCTGGGGAGGCAACAAATCCCTCACATCCCAGCTGGGGAGGATGGCATCCTTTAATCACAAATCCCATAACCTCCCACTCCCAGCCATGAAGTTTGGGGCTGATTGGAATGGGACCCCCCCCCCCCAATAAAAGGGATCCTTTGGAACAGGGGTGTCCAACCTTGGCAACTTTAAGACTTGTGGACTTCAACTCCCAGAATTCCTCAGCCAGCAAAGCTGGCTGAGGAATTCTGGGAGTTGAAGTCCACAAGTCTT